GCTATTTGCTACTACACCACCTCCGCCTAATAAACTGGGGTCTACCTTGGCGTACATATCAGTGGCGTCACCTTCAGACAAGTTTGATACCCAATCTACCCGTTGCGGAAGGATCGAAGGCCCGCTGAGCCCAGGCGGCAGTCGATCCGGAAATTGACTCCATGACCGGTGCGTGGCAAGCGGCGCCACTTGCCACTGTACCAGCTCCGCCCAGTCCTTATCATTCAAAAAATATAGCAGAGTGGGAGTTTTCTCTTGAAACGTGAGGAAACTAAATTGGGGCAAAACATATATCTCCCAGAATGGGATATTTTAGGTTAGGAATTTCAGTAGGATCCAATTTAGGATTAAAAACAAGTTAAGTAAGCTTTTGAAAGCGTCCGATTGCGTATTCTTTAAATTCAGTATAAAATATGTTTTTTATGGCTCTACTTCAAGAGAGGTTCCTAAAATCTCATCCATTTGATCTACTATTTCCATGTCGTCGGAGGCTGCCCTTCTCACTATTGATTGCTATTTTTCATGCGCTGTTTCACTATTTTACATGTCATTTCCGTGTTTCCGCCAAAGTGACGTCATTTTTCACTCGATTTTTACAAATTTCAGGATGAAGTCCATCGTTCTCTTAGCTGTTGTCGCTGCATGCTATGCATTCGACAAAGAGTCGATGCTGAAGCACAACAAGATCAGCAAAGAACCTGTCGGCAGCGTTGATATGCCCTCCACATGTGAAGAATGCAAATCGGTTTGTTTTCTGGATTTTGGTCCCTTTCCATGTGTCCAGTAGATGGGTCCTAGATACTGCATGGGAGTTGTTCCTGGGGAAGGCTTACAAAGCGCTCGAATCCGGAGTGAAGGGAACACATTTTGAGTCCACGCTGAGTCAAATCTCTCAATTTTGCCTTTGTTCCTGTTTCGGACACTTATCAGCGGTCTGTCTGAGGGGTTTGGTTTTTCTCCCGATGAAGTGAATGGACTGCGAGAGCTTAGCTCTGGAAACTAACAGTGGCCACAGCAATTCGACAGAAATCCTCTTGTTCGTCGCGCTTGCTAAAGCGTCCCAAAGGGTGGGTTTGGCGCGGCGCCAGGCCAGCCCGTTTTCCACACCAAAACTGTTGTCGCTTACTCACTTCAGCAGTTGGTGGAGAAAGGACTAGCGCTGCGTGTAATCCGGCCAGCCTGGAGCACCCCAGCATTCGCAGCGGAAAAGACTGTAGCTGGGTTGTAGTCAGACTTCGCGATCACGCGCGTCGATGCGCTGTAACGCGCTGCAATTGAAACAGCGCTTCAACCTCTATAGATGAACGTAAGCTGCAGACGGAAATCGATCGGCGCCACCCCCGCGGCCAGTGCCGATCGATACCAGAATGCGTGTTTAGGGACGCGTACCCTTCTTCTTCATACTCTCTCCACAAACAAACGGGCCATTATCGATTCCGCTTCTGGCAGCGCTGTTGCGTGTCGATAAGAATTGGAGCGCAGTTGCAATTATAGCGTCGACGCGCCGTCATTTCGAAGTCCGACCACTATTTACATTGATAAAAAGTGAAACGTGAGATTGTGAGACACCAAGGCAGCAGACGACAAGTGGAATGTTGAGCAGGGTGGGTGGCATCGAGGAGCGACTCCCAGGGCGATGTTGGTGTTTAGGAAGGGAAACTGAACGCAGGGCAGGCGACGAGTTGGTCGGGGGAGGGGGCGGGCGTTTTACACTTTCCTGCTTACCAGTGTCGTGTTCATTGCATTGCAAGAGGTGGCAGGTATTCTTTAGAAGATTTCACAGATGGTTCCTACAAACTTTAAGCGATTAAGCCGGCCGTATAAATGCAAAACATTAACAAAAACAAACTTGTGAAAGCCATTCGCCTGCGGTTCACGTGCCAGATAAATCGGCTACCGGCTCATCACGTGAACGTATGAGGGGTGTGTGGTGATTCTATCGTGGGGTCGTCGCGCCGGTGGGCGGAGCGAGGCGGCGTGGCGGCCGCCGCGTACGTGTTTTGTTGCGTGGCGTTCAAATTGTTAAAGGGATCATCGACCCTTTAACAATTTGAACGTTTGGCGCGATCACGTTACAGTTACGTGTTGTAACGGGTTGGATTCATCTGGAAGTAGGTTTGCCTGACAGGATTTGACGTGTGGGCGATAAGAAAAACCGCGCCAAGCGACATACACCCAACGCCACGCAACAAAAGTAATAATGCAATTGCTTTTCTATGTTACGGCGGCCGTGAACCAACGCTAACGCTTTGCTCCAATGATAACTCGGGAGTACGGTAGTGCAACTCCGGGATTGCCGCGTCGCGGCGTGCCGCGCAGCGGCATGTGCGGCGCGGGTGCCGGGCGGGCTGAGCGGTGTGGGTCGACGATAGAGTCGCCCGGGGGTCGGCGCGCGCGGGTGTGGTGAGGGGTGGCGGTTGAGAGGTGATGGCACAAAATAGCGCTTGGAGCTGAGTGGTCAAAATGGCCTGACGGTAAGGCAATAGGGAACGCAGCTGGCAGCGGCAAAGCAGAAGATGGCGGGTTGAGTCGCCGCCCGTGGTCCGAACTTTTGCCCATTACTCGGCATTTCTTTATGAAGCAAAACATTACTCGAGATCGTGCAACCGTGCCAGCAGCGAGTGATCAACCGCCCGCGACCGCCGTTGACTCTCAGCTATTTTGCACTGGGTTTGAATTCTACGTCTCGGAAGACCCTTTGTTGCTATTTCGGGCAACTGGTATTGAATTCTACGTCTGCGAAGAAGCATGACGACTTCGATGGCGCCGGTACGGTATTCGCAGTAGCACAGGCGCGACTTTGCTTAAAGGCACAACTCCCGAGCGATAAAATAGGCTATGACCTCTCAAATGTGTCGGACGATCCGGAAGGCGATTTTTGAGGCTGCGCTACTTTCAAAATGTGAAAAACGGCAAGAACTCCGCTAGAAGCTGACTAATTAGGCCCATGGACACCCTTAGGCCCATGCCGACCCTCACCGGCTGCTAGCTACTAGCTAGTAGCCACTATGTTATCTTTCTCTATAACATTTCGGACTGCTTTTTCTGCTGCTTTTCTCCGCTAATCAGATACTTAGCACTTTTTTGTGCCTATTTGAGTTCCGTTTCCCGCAATTTGCGGTCGCGAACGTTGTGCCTTTAAATAATGGGCAATGAGAGTATAAGTTATATCATTGAAAAATTTAGTATTATCTTTTTTCTGCTTTCAGTTGGTGCACCGATTCTCCGAAGCGGCTAAGGACCCTCAGAAATTGGCTGAGTTGAAGATAATGCTGAATGTGCTTTGTCACGAGACTTCCTATGTCGACGAGTGCCGCATGTTTGTATCGAGACTTGATGTCATCGTTTCAAGAAGCTCGAACCATTCTTGAGTGCGCGATTGTTTGAATATTCTTGATCATATTCTTAGTTGACACCCATTTTGGAGCGGTACGTAGTCGTTTTTCGCTGCAGACACTGAGGCGTGTCGGGGTCCTGGGTTTTGGCCCGGCGCCAGCACACTTTCCACAATTGTTGTCGTTTGTTCGTTTCAACAATAACGGGCCGGCGCCGCGTCAACACAGCTCAGCAGCTGGGCATACGGTTAGGACTACGAGAGGTCAGCGCCAGCGCGAGCAGCGGAGGAGAGGTATGCTTGGCGACGTTTTTCGCTATGTGCCGGCGTTTGCACTTGGATTCCTAACAGTCTGCTTTATGACTTGCATGTATGAAAACTATGAAAGGAGTGGGCCCAATGTTCAACTTTAGTATAACAACGTCCATTTACATAGAAATAATATTTAGAGAATGTATCAGCAAGCTACAAAAATTCATTTTAGGGTGAATCCTTCTTTTGCACTCAATTGTAAGGTATTAGTAAGGGCCTAAGATTTGGCGCAGACTAAGAAAACATAGGTTTAGGGTATTTAAAAGGAAATACTGCAATCCGTTTCGAATCAATTACAGCTGCCCATTCTAAAATATTGACGTCCATTGAAATCTGGCGATTTTGGCAAAATGCCCACAGATATTGTGTAATGCCAGGATGATCTTAGTGTAGGAGGACCTGAGAGGGATCTTCTCAGCGTCCCAGATCACGCGTAGCAATCGCCGCGCGCGCGATAAAAACATAGCAGCGTGACGCTCTCGTGGAGGCCTAACCTACACCCCTCGCAGGCTCTTTGCGACGCCCCCGAGTCTGCAGCGCGGAGAACTGTACGTTTCCAACGGCGACTCATTCCAAAACCCATGGTGTTGCTCTATCGGATAAACCGTTCCACCTGGAAACCTCGAGCTCAGAGTTCTTTTCGAACCCTGGCGCAAAAGACCCACAGTGTTTTATTACAAAGATGTTCAACTCGAGCACCGATTTATTGTAATTGAACAACAAAAGCGTCCCACTCCCTTCACAGTTCTGAGTGGTAGTGGAATGCATGGCCCATTCCACGAGAAGTTGCTTGATGATTCACTATTTTTTTTGTCCGAGTTTTGAAATTCTGATGATTTCAGGAGGATGCTCACCGCGTTTGCAAGTCATTCCACATGTGCTCCAACTCTCGTCTTGAAGCATTCCACCGAATCGGACTGCTCTACGCAAAGAGAACGATGAAGCAAAGTTGATGGAATGGTACGTGATGAATATAGTCTTCAATACCAGCAGAACTACTTCATATTTTACCCACACGGGTTAGCGTATTGCAGCGCAGACGGAGGAGAAGGTGGTGTAGAAGCAAATGACTCACTTTACCATGCTTGTAGTCCCAGGGTATCCCCGATCGACTTTCGACCAGGCCTTTACCCAGCGGGAGCGTAAATGGTATAAATGGTAGTGATTCGCAAGGGAGGACTAAAAATCACATGCACTCTACCTGATGCCTCGGGATGTCATTATACAGGCTATACCGCATTCGACCGGCCACCACGGTCCTGAATTAAGTGAGATGCACGCCGTATGTCGGAAAAAGGTCAACAGCCAAAACATTACCATTTTCTCATTTACGGTCCATTTCCCGGAAATGGGGAGGTGTGGCTGCGTACATCATTGGAATGTGGCAGCGACTGGTCGGGTGTTGCTGCTTGAAGGCATTGATAATCATGTTGTTGTCTATCATAAGACAAGGTGACAGTTGCTCAAAATGCATGTGTTCCCCACCGGTAGACGATTTCTAAAGCAACACAACACAAAGTGCGGCCAAGTCCTCTTCATGTCCTGGACAAAAAGTGTTTGAGATAGCAATGGGTGGAGCGCCCATAAGAGGAAGTCACAATGGTCCAGAAGGCCCCAAAAGTTGCTTACCTACCCACCATAGTTTGGGCCAGTTGCCGCCTAGTTTTTGGGAAAAGTAAAAACGCTTTGAAAAATGGCAGAAAGTTGGGAGCGACTGTAGAGGACTGTAGGGAGCAAGGAAATAGGAAGTGGGGGGAGTGCGTGACGCGAGAGGTGGAGAGAAACTTGGGAGTGGGGTTGGACTGAACCCCGGCCCCTTAGACAAATCATAATGTCCACCATCACTCCACATTGGAAGTATTAAATCTGCAAAGCTGACAAAGGAGCAGTCCACCATTTTCTCCTATGGTGATCACCTTCCACCGAATCCAGACTGGCATTATTGTCCAAGCTTCAGAAGGATTTGTCTGCGATGAGTGCCAAGTTTTTTGCTGGGCCGTGAACTGAAGGTGATTGTTGAGGACAAGGAAAAGCAACAGGAAATCCGTGACTTCCTTTCACAGAACGTCTGCAAGCACATCCCACGCTACCAAGGAATGGTTGGTCCAGCAACTACCGTAATCTTACGCCTTCATTTTTTAATCTCAATGTTTTTAGTGTGACATGCTCATTGAACAGTTCCTTCCCGAGATGTTCCAGGAGCTCGACACTATGTTGAAGGACCCCAAGGCTGTCAGTACTCTGCACACAAATTCACGGTTACTAGAGTAATCCAGATATATTTCCAGGCTTGTGCTGATGTTGGTTTCTGCCCGCGTACCAGCCCACCACGCAAGCTGGTAGGATTCATCGGTTTCCTGTCACGTCTGTAAACGTCCTTCCCCGATCCTCGTGTTCAGTTATCCATTTGTTCATTTATCCCTCTGAGGCGTAATGTTACTATAATACATGGTGCAATTGCTATATTCTGCTTATTAAGGGTTATTAAATAAAGTTACTCGTTGCTTTATCCACTTTACTACACATTGTATGGGGGTTCGAAGTCGCAAAATGAAGTGCGACTGTAACTGGGGTGTGTTGTTGTGGCGGGCCTAAACACGAATCGGATACAAGAGGGGTGGTTTGGAAAACGGGAAGGTGTTTTTGGATGCTTGTGACATCGCTGTAGAGTGAGACCGGATGAAGCTTGCGCCGCGAAGAAGGATGTCGGGTGGGGCGGTTGGGACTTATTCGCTCGCCATGTTTGTCAAAGTTGTTGACCGAAGAAGTCAGAAATATGGGCGGCAGATGCTGGCGTGGGGGGGAAGGTGCTGAGTTATAGCACAGAAGTAGGCTCCGGCGCCAGTCGAACCCGCACTCACGCTTACGACCGGCTCACCAAGTAAACGTGTGAGTGCTGCAAGGCTTCAAAAAGTCGTTGGAAAATTGTGAAAGTGTGAAATACCCCCTCCCTTCGTCCCTTCCCTCCACCGAACTATGCCTCTTTGACCCAGATGTTACTTTCATATGTTTACCCATTTGGTCCGTGCAGTAAAAAGGATACTTTTTGGCACAGTGCAGTACTAAGGAAAGTATGAGATCAAGTCGTAAATAATATAAGGAATTCGTGACCACCGGCTCCAAAGGGAAGGGAGGTCGAATTACCCCTAGAACCCAACTTTCAGCCAAATCTGCCCCCGTAGAAAAAAGTCGATCAAGATCCGGCCTGTTTTCGCAAAACTGGGGTAGTAATAGTTGAATAGTGCCGAAACTTGTTGTTCGGCTGCCTGACTAGTGACAGCGGGGCTTGTCCTGCTCACAAGCTACCTACCAGCTTAACAGATCCTCCAGCTGCCTACCAGTTTTCAAAGAATCCTCCAGTTTTTTCTTTCCAAAATTTGGCGTCGAGCGGGAAGTCTCTCTTCAATCAACAATTAGGTTCAGCTATCGGAAATAATAGCTATATAGAAGCTTTGTGGCGTCGCCAGCTGGGGGGGTACATCGTATACCGGGAAACGGGACGAATTCGACATCTAGGTATTTCCTTTTGTGACTCGGAAAGAGTCCTGTCCGAAACCACCCCTTCCTTACACAGAGAAGGATTTCCCGACCCGGTCCCAACGATGCTGTGAATTGGTGAACCTTTCGGGAGGCACATGGACTAGGGCCCCACTAGCCATCAATATCATTTTAACACCTCAGCTGTTCCAGAAAAGGTGCTCCGCCAGATACTTGTTGCGCACTTCTCTAGCTTTAATCATACAGTCCTTGTGAAATACGGTTTCGGACATCTATTTCCCTACATGCGCAATTTCTTTAATTTAGCCTTTGCTGGGATAGGAGGGTCGAGCAGTGCGTCTGGTCAACCATTCGACATTTCTTCCAGTGTTTCGAATGCCCTCTATGTGGTCAGACGCGATCATTTTAGTTCAGCCATAAGTTCTGCAATAGTTCCCAATGAGCAGCTCTCACTTCTGCTCAGAAGCACGAAGAATGCGCAGCTGACCAGGTTCTT